TGCAGAAAGCATCAAAAACTATTGCTGAAAGCGAAGCATCCAAAGTGACTTCACGAGCCTTGCTTCCCTTTAGGAAGATCTCAAAGGTGTCTTCATCTTGGAACATGGCTATGGCTTTGGTACATGTGAAGAACAAAAGATGACAGCACATTTGATGGCATCTGATGAGTCTTCTTCCAGGAGCAGCATGAGGCCATTCAGGGCTGTCTTTATGCTTAAAGGGGCCAAGCCTTTGGGATAAGAGACCCTGTGTAGCCAGCCGAGTCCTTGGAGGAAAGGAAGGCCTTATCTGTATGCATCTAACCAGCCTCCACACCAGAGCTGGCTGGGGCAAGATACAGAGTGGCAGATGTGCAAACATCATAAATGAATCACTGCCACAAGGAGACCAGGTAAATCCTATCAAGTAGGAAACAGTTAAAATTTTTAAGATACAAAAGATTTTAGAGTGCATAGTTTGGTTAGTCTATATAATTTTTACCAGTATTATATCTGTATATTTTTATTAAAAGGTTTATATGAGAAAAAATGAAAAAAAAGTAAATCTTTGATACATGAAAGATGAGTCACATGTGATTCCCTCCAGCACCCAAGATCCAACAGTTCATTTGCTATGGTTTTTGTATGACCCTAGGTCGTACTTACATTACAATCTATTTTTTCACATAATCAAACCCTGAAGTCAACTTTATGGAAGACTAAGCAAGCAACAAAATGAGATTAGGAGAATAAACATATGTACCACAAACTTTCTCATTAAATTTTAGACACTGTGGGGTAAAGGAATGAGTTAAAACTCTGTAAGCACAGGGAGATAGCATGGGGGTAAGGGGGATCAGTCCAGCTCCTACAAAGCCCACGTACTCTTGTATTTGGCAGTCATTAGTGGCAATGTGATGTGGGGAGGAATTTATAAAATTAAAACCATTTACAGTACCATTTTCTAAACTGATGCTCTTCCTGTAGACATTTTAGGAATAAAAAGGTAATTCATTAATGTAACCTACATAAAACAGAAAACTGTAGTCAGTGTGTGAAGCCATACATACCGTAAGTGAAATACAATGTGAGAGCAAGAATTAGACTTGTACAGAAGCACAAATGGAATTTCACTGAAGACAGACATCAGTGGTCAACCTGAACATCTCCTGAAGAAAGTAACAAGGCTTTGGAGGAAATAAAGATGATGCCAGGACTTTCAAGAATCACACAGAAGGGTAACAGTAAGATCCCCTGCTCAAGACCCCTCTGGCACAAGAGGCTCCCTGCAAAGCATACCTGCATTGCCAGCCTTGCTACTCTTATGGTTTGGGCTATTATTAAGTAAAATGAGGGTTACCTGAACACAAGCTGTGATAACTGTGACAATCGGTCTGAAAATGGAGATGGCTACTAGGTGGCTAATAGGCAGTGTGGATACACTTGGCAGAGGGATAATATATATCTCTGTGGGATGGACCAAGATTTCACCTTACAATACCGAATGGCATGTATCTTACAGCTAATAAAGTGCTTCTTTCTGTAATTTTCCATTTAATATTTTTGGACCCCTGATGAATAAACAGCAGAAGGTAAAATCTTGGGGGAAGAGGGTGTACCCTCAAAAACAAAGTATTTAAAAATCAATTTTACCAGACATACAAGGTCTCCATGCTGGAAATTACAGGACACTGCTGAGGAAAATAAAAAAGAACTCAAAATAATATAGAGATAAATCATATCACAAATTAAGAAACTCAATATCAAGATGTTAACCTCTCAAAACTGACACACAGAACTCCCTACCAAAATCCTAAAAGGAACCTTCACAAAATTTGACACCTTAACTCAAAGTAATGAGAAACTAAGTGACCTAGAAACACAAACAACCTTTTTAAATGGCAGCTAAAGCCTCACTTATCTGTATGTCAAGTCTTTGTAAATAGGGAGGGATGGAGGGGTTGAAGGGAGGGCAGGGGAAGGGGGAAAAATAAGAACCAAGAGAGATTATGTAAAGGTGCAAATTTCCAATGATGAATATCATTATATTGTATACCTAAAATGTACCAATGATTAAAATGAATAATTGATAATGCAAAATAGGAAGAAAAGGTCCAAAGGGGTAGGGGAAGTGGGAGGGGTAGGGAAAAGGAAAGAAGGGAAAGGAAAAATTATGAGAAATGGGAAAAATAGAAACAAAGTCTTTGTCAATAGGGAAGGGTGGGGAGGTGAAGGGAGGGCAGGGGATGGGGAAAAAATAAGAACCAAGATGCATCATGTAATGGTACAAGTTCCCAATAAGAAATGTAAATGTATTGTATACCTAAAATGTACCAATAAAAGAATTTAAGGAAAAAAAAATAAATGGCAGCTAAAGGACTCACCCTACTTGATGTCAAGATTTCCTTGGACCCATGTAGCCAAATCAGCATGGAGCTGGCACAAAACAAGACCAGCTGAACCAGACAGTGTGCCCAGGACAAGATCCAACACAGGGCCAACTGACTGCTGACAAAAGCATCAGGTGATTCAATGAAGAAAGGAAAGTTTTGGGGGTTTTTTCCCAACAAATGCTAAAACAACTAAATAACAATATGGGGGAAAAAAACCCTGTGCCTCACTAAGGGGTAATTCAAAAATGGGTCATATATCTAAACATAAAAAACCAAAAAGATAAAGTTCTTAAAAGAAATTGTAGGAGAATATATTGGTGATACCAAAGTAAGTATTTCTTAGAGAAGACAAACATTTACACAAAGTAAAGATAAAAATCGATAAATTGACTTTCTTAAAACTGAAACTCTCACCAAAAGACACTATTACCAAAACAAAAATTCAAGCAACTGTGAAAAAAATCAGTTCATGTTTCTGGCAAAGGACAGGTATTCAAAATCACCAACCAATAACAAGTTAAAATTAAGAAAATCAGATATAAATGGGCAAAAGATTTGAAAGTACAAATTAAAACCTCAATGAGATGATATTTCATACTCACCTAAAGGACTAAAATTTTAAAACCTGACAATACCAAGTACTGGCAAAAGAGTAGAGCAACCAAAACTGTCATGCATTACAGGTAAAATGACAGAACTTTGGGGAAAATTTAGGCAAATTCTTTATTAAGTTAAATAAACAATTGCCAGTAATTCCCCATCTTGGCATTTACTCAAGATAAATGAAAAGGAATGTCTACAAAAAAGTTTCACCACAAAGAGGTTAAACCAAGAATCAGCAGACAGGATTGACTTAAAAGGACACAGGAAAACTTTCTGGGTGGTGCTAGATCTTGGCAGGGGTCTCAGTCTGGAAAATAGAGAGGAAACCTGGGAGACCAATGAGTTCCCCAAAGCTCTCAGGACTCCAGCCTCTACAGCAGTGATAACAAATCTTTTAGAGACCAAGTGCCCAAACTACAACCCTAAACCCACTTATTGATTGCAAAGTGCCAACACTGCAATTAAACCCGAATACTGAGGCTTTAGTTTAGAAAAAAACAACTCATATGTTAACATTTTTTGTCCTAAAAGAAAAACAATACGCATACCATAGGTTTGCTATCACTGCTCTAGAGTCTACCTACAAGTGCACCTTCCTGACAGATGTCACCTGCATCTTATTTAGGCCATTATTTGGCAGTTGCTTTCACACCTGAATCTGATTCTAACTTCAGGCAATTCATAAACTAAGGACTCAAAGTTAAGCCTCTTCACTCTATTCTTATATGATCCATAATGGGCACTAAACCAAATATCTCATAATGCAGACTTTTTAGGTTGTTCCCCCCCGCCCCCAATTTGCTGTAAGGAGTACCTTTACTTTTCACCAAAAGAAAAAAACCTCGCACATAATTTTTATGATTTATTGTGCAACTGAACATGCCAAAAAACAAAATGACATTTTCCTCTACAAATTATTTGGTGCCTGTGATTTTCTGAACACCACAACCAGATGGTTCTCACAGAAACTGAGAAGAAAATATTCATATAGTTCAAAGGTTTGCTTATTTTTTAGTCTCAAAAAAGACTATATTGATTGTAACATGCAGCTCTACAGGAAAAACCCCAACAGTGGAGGAGAATGCTGATATTTATTACCACACTTGTGCTCATTATGGCTATCTCTGACAGGGGTCCATTAAAATCAATTTTTACGTTTCTTATGTATTTTCTTTATCTAATGTTCTTGGCATTGTGTTTATTAGCCAGTTAAAACAAACACCAACTACAGGAGTGGGTAGTTTTTTTCTGTCAGAAATAACGAGAACTGCAATTTTAATACAACTGCTCACAATCAATGAATGGAGGAAATTAAATGTTACATTTCAGAACAAAACATTAAGAAGTGCTTTAAATTTTTTATATTTTTTATAATTAGAGAAATATAGTGAGGATCATGCAAAAAGAGAAACACGTATCCCCTTGCAAAGAAACACCAACATTCTCAGTGGCCCTGGAAAGGACCTGGGGCTTTTCTCCTGGCAGCTGTGCTCCCAGCACACACACCCACAGCTCCACATGCCCCCAGGAAGGCCACAGAGCTCCTCACAAGGCAATTCCAGAACAGCTGTGCAAGCCTCACCTAGTGGCCCCTGACAAACTGAAGATGGGGCTTGATTTTTTAAAACAGTCAAGATTTGGCACACATCTCCTGACTACCAAATTTCCAGAGACATTCCCCTACTACGTCACCTGGATTCAAGACTTAAAGTGCTCAAAGCTCATAATCAATCAACTCCTCTGTAAAAGTACAGATAAATCTAGTGTCTCAGAGTGACTAATCAAAAGTTATATCCATGAGGTTAATCAGAGATAGAGGATTCCCTGGCAACACACAGCAGCTGACAATGAAAGCACAACTGGAGCTGACCATATTCAGAGACACTAATATTTGTGGTTGGCAGTGTCAGGGTTTGCTTTACATTGCGATCGATGGAAAACAAGCAGTAATCACATTTAGTGTACTTCCTCCCCGTGCTTTTAGCCCATGCCACACAGGCGGTCAGCTGTGGTGCACATACTTACTCTGTGCTCAAGGTCTTCTGGCGGAGCAGCCTTATCCCATGCAGTCCTTGCTCACAACCAGATATCTCTATTTTCCCCAAAGGGCTGTCCAGCATTTTGTATTTCATCTCACAGGTCTTGGGCATCCTGCCAAGGACCTAGATAAAAACAATTTTTCAATCAAGAGAGTGCACATGGAAGCATTTGGTCATGAAGAAAGCATAATAGAAGCACCAGTTATTGAACACACAAGATATGAGCCAAAGCTTTTTCCTCATTGTGAGATTTAGTCATATGTCACTTTTACAATATAATTACTTTAAGACAAAATTACCACAATTACCTAGAGCAGTCAACCAATAGCACACCCTCTTTGCATTTCCTTAAGTTACTATATCCCTATCTTTACCCAACTTCAACCAGTGCATAGTTGGAAAAAGCTAAGTTGGCATGAGGTGTTCTTAAGTAGTACTTAAAACTAATCCGACCTTGTTTAATAAGATGCTTACCAGATAATAAAAATCAAAGGCAAACACTTCTCTATTTTGAATAAAGTTCAGTAAAATCTTGATTTGCAAGCATAATTCATTCTGGAAACATGCTTGGAATACAAAGCACTTGTATATCAAAGTGAATTTTCCCATAAGAAATAATGAAAACTCAGATTCATTCTACAACCCAAAAATATTCATATAAAATTACAATACTATAATACAACATAATTAAAAAATATAAAATATAAAGAAAAACAATTAACCTGTACTTACCTTTGAAAAGCAACATGGCTGGTGTGAGGGGAGATAAGAGGAAGGTTGTTATGTAGGACAACTTTCACTATCATTAACAGAACACTGCTATCTATTGGCTCAATAGAATCCTTTTCTTTTCATGCAACTTTAAAAAGGACCCTATTCAATGACATTTGCTTTGGCTTCCTTTTGCAGATTTCATGGAAATGTGACATTACACTATTGTTTTTTTCCCCGTTAAGTTTACTGGTACATTTTCGGTATAAAATACAGTTACATTCATCATTGGGATCTTGTACCTTTACTTGGTTCTTTTTTTTTTCCCCCTTCCCTTGTCCTCCCTTCACCCCCTCCACCCTTCCCTATTTGCAAAGACATTGTTTCCATTTTTTTTCTCATATTTTTCCCTTCCCTTTTTTTCCTTCCCCTACCCCTCCCAATTACCCTGCTCTTTTAGACCTTTTCTTCCTGTTACACAATATCAGTTATACATTTTAATTTTTGGATTGTTTTCTCAAGGTCCATGAAGTATGCTGCTGGGATCTCAATTGGAATTGCATTCAATCTATATAGCAGTCTTGGAAGTATGGCCATTTTCACTATATTCATCCTTCCTACCCAGGAGCAGGGGATGTCTGTCCATTTTCTGATATCATCTTCAATCTCTCTTTTCAG